TGCACCCACCCACCCCTCTTTTCCCAGCCCAGAGGTGCCATCATCTCTCCCCTCATCACCAGCATGGGGGGGACCTGTGACACTCCAGGAGCACCAGTGGTGGTCCCATCCCCACTACAGCCCCAGAAGGGGAAAAAGAGGCACACGAGTGGAGGCCTTTGGACCCACTCACATCAGTGCCTCGCAATTATCCCCAGCCAAGGGCTCCAAGGTCAGAGACAGGCGACACAGGGAATTTTTGCCAGCAGATTTCCCAGGTAGCCTTGGCACCACCCATGCTTTCAAAGACGAGACACAGGCGCTGGGCCCTGTGGGGACAGGACAGACGTGATGGGGACTCATGGGACCGATCCAGCAGCCAGCTCAGCTGCCTGTGCCTACAGGGCAGGTCTGTGTAGGCACTGGGCTCAGAGAAAAGAATAGGAAATTCTAGGGACAGCACTCCAGCAGTTGGATCAGGGAGGGGACACTGGAGATAGGCCAGTTCCCCCTCCTCAGGGAACCCTCAGCCCCGTAACAGACACTCTCACACATCCACCTTAATCTCTCAGCATTAAATGATTTTTAAAAAAACTGTATAGAAATCACCACACTCATGACTTTTTTGTTTTTTTGCCTCCAGAACGTGACATCAGCTTCACAACTCTGCTCTCGCCTCCTGCTTCAGCGAAACCTCCTCTCCTCCCACACGTATCGCTTCCCTGCGGGCACCTTGCGGAAGAACAGGCTGTTCCCTCGGCTCATGTTGCCCTGGAAGGGGGAGACGACCACAGCTGGGTGAGTCAGGGCTGTCTGGACCCCTGGTGTGCCCACCCTCAGGCCCGTTGGGGCTCCCAGCCCACTCTTTATAGCCAGGCAGCATCCTGGAGGCACCTGGTGCTGGCCACTTACCTCCCTGTGCAGCTGGCTCCAGCAGTCCAGCCAGGAGGAGTAGGTGGGTGCATAGGGAAGAAGACCTCCAGCTAGCCTGGGGAAGAGAGAATCATTTCTTCCCAGGGCTGAGTCGGCACGGTACAACCCATCCGCTCCACAGCTCTGCATGGGGCTCAACCCCAAAATGGCCTTTTTGAGGCTGAGCTCCCACCCCACACTTCACCCCCTGGACCTGAGAGAACCACCCCACATAGAATTTGAAACCTCTTTGCCAACCAGGAGCTTTGAAACAGTGGTTTCAGAAGCTGATCCAGTGTGGAGGGACATGGGTGTCACCCGTGTCAGCCCCACCAGGCGTGGGCTGGTGCTAGGAGGTGATGGCACTCACCCGCAGTTGTTCACAGCCATCAGGTTGGACACCAGCACGAAGGGGTAGGTCAGCATGCTAGCGAAGAACTGCAAGGCAGAGAAGGGCTGGTCAGCAGCGCCATGCACCCTTCCAGGGATCCTCCTCACTTCCCTCCACATGAACAAGCCCCAGAAACTCCCCAGGGACCCCCTGGGACGGGGGCTGCACTTACCCCAGTGACTGCCTGCGAGTAGCTCTTCATCTCAGTCATGGTTGAGACCTGCAGGAAGAGAAAAGGTACCTTCAGCCCCCATGGAGCCCCTAGAAGTGGGGCCCTACTCCCCTAGATTGACCCTTGAGCCCCCCTGTCAGCAATGCCACCGTGCCCACCCCCCAAGTTGCCCCCCTATCGCAAGCGGGGCGCAGAGCCCATACCCCGTTCTCCAGCGCGTATGTGTTGATGAGGTAGGCCAGCATGTTGCAGAGCCAGAGCGAAAGGATGTCCCCGAGGAGCCGGGGGACGAGGCCGCTGAAAGAGAAGAGGGAACCTTGGTGAGCCTGGGGCAGAGCCGGATCTGGCCGCGCACAGAGCTTGAGAATGGGCAGCTGGGAATGGCCAGGGAGCAGCCGCTCACCCAACAGACGGGTGAAACTGGGGGAACCCCCCACCCCGGGAGCAGGGATGCTCTGAGAAGCTGTTCCAACAGGACATGGGTGCAGAGGGGACCCAAAACGGCCCCCAGGCAAGGGTTACTGCACCCTTGCTCCGATGTAATGTCCCCAGGCACTGGATGTCACCCACGCCACCAAGAGCCAGTGGGGGCTTGCCAGATCCATGCCAGAAAGCTTCCTTGGGGAGGGCAGAACAGGAAACAGAGGGCCCCAGCAGCAGTCACAGAATCAGAATCACAGAATCGCTCGGTTGGAAAAGCCCTCTGAGATCATCATGTCCAACCGTTCCTGTCTACCCCCTAAACCATATCCTTAAGTACCTCATCTACCCGCTCTTTAAACACATCCAGGGATGGTGACTCCACCACCTCCCTGGGCAGCCTGTTCCAGCTTCTGACGACCCTCTCAGTAAAGAACTTCCTCCTCATCGCCGACCTGAACCTCCCTTGGCACAGCTTGGTGCCGTTTCCCCTTGTTCTATCCCCCATCACCTGGGAGAAGAGACCAGCACCCACCTCTCTACAACCTCCCTTGAGGCAGTTGTAGGTGGTGATGAGGTCTCCCCTCAGCCTTCTCTTCTCCAGGCTAAACAAGCCCAGTTCCCTCAGCCGCTCCTCATCAGGCTTGTTTTCCAGACCCCTCAAGCTCAGAGTGCTTCTCGAGCCTGGCAAGCCCCGTGGATTATGAGGAGAGACCCCGCTGTGCCCCCCTCCCCAAGACTCCCGGTAGACGGCACTCACGCGAAGAAGCCCAGGATGCCCTCTTCTCGGTAAATTGTGGCAAAGGCGCTTAGTGTCCCACTGGATCACGGAGGAAGAAGAGGGTGTCGCGGTCAGAGGGGGCCCCAAAGGCAGGCAGCCCCCCTGCCGCTCCACAGCGGCCTCATTTTCCCCCCCACCCCATACCTGTACTTGGTCTCCCGGCCGATGAACTGCACCATGCAGCGCAGGGTGATCACTGTGGGCAGAGACAGGCAGCACAGTGGGTCAGCAGGGGGCACAGGGACACCCCAGGGTGGCACAGGAGCAACGGACACCCGTCACTCACGTCACTAGACCCATGAGGGGGACACCTACCGTGAAAGGGGTGGGTGATGAGGGTGGCAGCGGAGCGAGCAACCATCTCTCGGGAGGTCTGGGGAGAAACAGGCTGTGAGGGGGAGGGGGCCCAGGCCGCAGTGCTGGCATTGCATCGAGCCCGTTACAGCCCAGCACCTTCCTCCTCCTCCTCCTCCTCCTCTTCCTCACCTCTTTGAGGACCTGCTCCAGAGAGGACCCGGACTCCTTCTTGCTGGCTCCAGGCTAAGGAGGGAAACAGGCATCAGGTGGGGAACAGCTCTCTGGAAGGCAGCGCTCCCTCCTCACCACCCCTGGGATCTGCCCACAGCCAAAGCACAGGCTCTGCAGCTCCCCAAAGCTCCAGCAGAGCCTTCTGTGCTGCACATTTCACCCTGGGGGTAGCACCTGATGCCGGGCTGCCTCTGCCCGCAACCACGGGGGGACAGGGGAAGAAGGGAGAGAGCAAAGGAGAGAGGATCCACGGGGGAAAGTGGCCTCGCACCTACCTCAGCCTTCTCAGCATCCTGGTACCACTGGGGAGGGAAGGGCAGGGTTAGTGCAGCCACAGGGGTCAGGGGAGGCCCT